TCTAACTCTGTATCTGTAACGTGTGGAGGATGGATTAACCCACGGCACTTAGGCCTCACTAGGTCCATTGTGTAGATAGGCACCTCCTGGCTCGTGAGCCAGCCTACAGATTTAATGTAATTGACAACGTCGTCAAGAGATGCTTCCCTTATATCATCTTCTTGTTCGCATCCCCTATAGAGTTCGAATTCTGCTATCCCTATGATATGGAGATGCTTCTATAATTGGAAATGTCCAGTCAGAATGCCTGTGAGCAGGCGCAGATTCTGTCTAGTCATTGTCAAGTATTTGTTTGCTGTAGTGTTGTCAGGATAACTTAGAAGCTCTCTTTCAAGTCTGCAGCTTTTCTTGAATTTCACAAGAGAATGATCTTAAATTTGGTTTGTCACTACGGATATTGCCAGTCCAATAGAGGGACCAGGTTCAAAAAGTATTTGGTTGGCTGCCTTCTTGGCAAGTGAATCAGCCTCGATGTGGCATGACCATTGATCCATCTTAAGTTGACCACATTGTTGACGGATACTTCCCTCAAAGCTTCGTGTCATTCTAGTACTAACCCTGAATAAATTCGTGTTCTATAATATTTAGAGCTACTTGCATTCTTTCGCAAAGTATGTTCTCAAAATTCCCTGTTTGTAGAATAACCAGATCATCTGCATACGCTACTGTGTCCCCTTGGAACCAACTTTCTTACATTCACATTTTCTACATTTATGTTTACTGCTCGTTTTCTAAAGATGTTGTGTATCCATCCAGTAACCAACTGTGCAACATTCTTGTTATTTAGTAAGTGTACTATCTTGGAAAAGGTAGACTTATCAAAAGCACCTTCTATATCTATGAAAACACCCAAGGCGGACTCTTTAGACAAAGAAAGAGAGAGGACGCGTAACAAGTATATCAAGCACTCGTAGTATTCTGTGCCGATTATCGGTTGGCCGCCATCACTTTGGTGCTTAGCATTTCGAAGACACCAAAGCCTTTTAATCGTGTTTATTTGTATTTTTTAAATTAAACATTTGATAATTAGTTTGTTATAATATTATTTATATCAGTGTAAAAGTCGTAGCGACAAGAAATAACTAGAAATTGACAGGTAAATGATAAACATCAATCATTTATAGAGGAAAAGGTGCAAATATGGAATACCGTTTCGTTTGGTATATATAAAAAGTTTTGTTAGTAAATAGATTTAAGACAAATTTAGGGAAAAGGTACTTTAGACAAGTAAACACCAAAATATAAAAGCAAATGTGTAATTATCTTAAACACTTTTTCAAAAAACAAGTTGGAAAAAAAAACTACAAAATTCCCACCTTAGAAAAGGTGGAGGAAATATGGAATACTTTATATATCTACATATTATTTGCACGAGTCACAAATATATTCGTCTTTTTTGGCGCCTCCACACTCATTATAAGCCCATTTCAATCACATTAAACATTGGACCCATAGTTCTCCTTTCTTATTAGCACGAATTATCGCAAAACATGCAATAAGCATCGTCCTCATTCGGTTTCAGTTGTCCCGGCATATCTTCCAAATCATTGTCAGAATGGTCAATTTTTACATCTTCGCTTGAATCCTCAGATTCATCAGCAGGAACTACATTCTTTTGAGTTTTATTTTGTACTTTCACTTCTCCTGTTTTTGAGAATTTTTTTTTTTGTTTCAAGGATTTTCCTGAAGACAAGTGTCTTTTAACGCCACGCGATTGTGCCTCCTTTTCATTTTTTTTATTTATTGTTTCATTTAGTTCGTCTGTGTAAGGTGGGGAGGTAATTACAATAGATCCAATTGTCTTGCGTCCTCTGTTGGTTTTTTGGGAAATGTGTTTGGGACTGGAGATATTTCGAACGGTGAAACAAACTTCTGGGTTGAATCTACGTCTTCATCTTGGCCTTGGTCATCTTCATCTTGGTCTTGGTCATCTTCATCTTGATCTTGGTCAACAGCTTGAATTCGGCCAGGTGCATTGTCTTTGCATGACGTTTTAGAGCATGAAGGTTTATCGATAGGGGTAGTAGAAGCTTTTGTTGTTCTGACTTCTTGAATGTTAATGGTAATTCCTCTTTTCGCTGCTTCTTGTTCCGCAGCAATGAAGTCAGCTTCGGAAAAAATATTCCTGTTAAAAGGGTAAATACTAGTGGTGCGAAAACCATTAGCCGCTATTGTGTATATCTGAACTTTTTCGTAAACTCTACAAAATAACTCCATTATATCAAAAGGACTAAGAACCCGTTGGTTTTGACGGATCCAAATACGAATTTCTTCACTATAATAAACTTTTAATGGCCCCATAAATGACTTATCCAAAGGCTGAAGCTTGTGCGTCGAGTGAGGAGGCAGACATAAAATGTTAACATGGTTTTCCCTTGTAAGGTCGATAACGTCGATATTGTGAGTGTAGCTGTAATGGCCGTCAAGGATTAAAAGGAGGTGGGTTTCTTCAGTTGGTTTATTGTACTGGATAAAGTGACTGACTAAAGTCACTGGGTGAAAATATGGGACTGTATCCAACCGGATGAATGTGCAATTCCTACGGACCCAGGAGAAGCTCCCTTCATGAGCTGAATGTTCATATTTTTCCTAGGAAAAATAACCAAGGGAGGAACAAAGTTTCCAGCCGCACTCATACAAAAAATAACTGTAATCAGAGCCCCTTTCTCTGCTGATGTTAATGAAGCAACTTGACGTTTGCCTTTCAGCCCTGTTACTGACGATACTTTACTTTGGACAATTGTTAATCCTGATTCGTCTACATTATAAACGTAATTCGGGGAATAGGGCATTTGCTTTTCAAGAAGATCAAAAAAGCCGCAACTCTTTCTTTACAAAAACCTGCAGCTCTGGCAAATGATGTTCCCGTTGGCTTCCTTATTGACAATTTTGGATGTCGCTTTAAAAACAAATCAATCCAGGCTCTGTCTCCTAATCCAGATGTAGAAAATGGGGGTTTGATTTTATTCCTTATTTGGACTCCATTTTTAAAATGTAATCAACTAGTAGCTTCTCTAGCTCTGGTCCCAAAACACATTTTCTTTCAAGCTTGGTTGCTGCAGCCTTATCTGGTGGAACTGTGTTAATTTGACTCAGACGAAAGAGCGTTTTTTTTGGATGCCTTGAGATATCCCATTGTTTTTTCTCTCACTGCCTGGATGGCCCTAGGCCATGTTGTCTTTCTTGTATTGCTTTCTTTTATTATTGCAAGACGGATGTTCAGTTTTTCGTGGCATCCTAAAAAAAATTAAAACGTGGTTTAAATATGGAATACTGGTATTCCATATTATCAACAACCCATGTCACCAATATTTCAGGTTAGATCTAGGCTATCATAACAAAAAACTAAACAAATGCAACATCATCTTAAATTTTAGTTTATATACAGTGGCATCGTAACAAATATTTAAATGAAAACATGCAAATAAAAAAAAATTAGGCTTGCATATTCACTTACGTGTTAAACTTTAAAGGACGCGAAATTCACATGTGCACACCTCAAGAACCAAAACCATACTAAAACGGCGCGGGGTAGATCGTCTACAGTAAAGATGGCAAACAAGCATAATTTTAGCCGGTTTTCGATAGGGGACATCATTTGGTTTAGTCAAAACCGAGGTATTCCATATTACATGCATATTCTATATTTGCACCTTTTCCTCTACTTTATATTTTTATAATTTTCCTATTATTTGGTTATTATACAGCTTGGTATTTATATATTGTACATGAGTAATAAATGTTACCAAGTTTGTTTATTTTGTTTTTTATTAATTTTTAAGCAAGTAATAATATTAGAATTGCCAAAAACGAAATTTTTACCAGTGGCGTGTAGTGCAATTCCAAATATTAACTTTTATCAAATACTATTTACTGATGAATCGACTTCTTTTAATAACGCATTTGTCAATAGACATAATTTTCATTATTACAGCACCGAAAATAAACATGAATTTTGAAGTGTAGATCGACAAAACCGATGGTCGTTAAACGTTTATTGTGACATGATAGGAATACAGTTAGTGAGGCCCTACTATTTTGATGACTATTTACATGAAAGAATTTAATTTGTAATTTAAATAGGGCACAATAGAATAAAAAATCTTTATTTTTACTCATCCACTTTCATTTACAATAAAAAAACTACTCAAATAAAATCTTTGAATGGACGTTTTAAGAGTGGCAACAATATAGAATAAGATTCATAAGAAATAAAATGGATTTAACTTCTGAAAATCAATAGTCTAAGATTATCCAAGAAAACTAAAACCCCAGATTGATCGACATTTTCTTTCCAAAGTTATCGTGCATACATACATACGTACAGAAAACCAGATACATTTTTTGCATTTTCGGGCCTTAGAATGATCAGAAACCTGGATAAAAGTATTAGAAAGTGGGGATAGGAAAATGTTTTCATCGGCATGAATACAACAGTGAGGACCCTTAGGAAAGTGTGTGTCCGGTAAGGTATAAAAACTTTATTATGTTGATTTTTGTTTAAAATGAAAAAGTAGTAGATCACAATACTCAAGTTAAAGTGTGCTAAATAAAAGTATTTTGTCAGCCAGGGACGACCTGCTACATTATGATTGGATCATCTAAAATGCTTTAGTGAGTTTTGAATTGGTTATATATCTATGGTTTTGAATAGTTTAATATATCTTGTACCTTTCAACCTTAGCCCTTCAATAGACTAGGCACTGCTACTCAAAAAAATATGTTTTAAATAGATTATTTTTTATTTTCCTTTTTTCCTTATTTTGTTTGATAAAGGGTGTTTTAAAAAACTAAAATACATAATTTACAAAATCTCATAATAATAATACAAATTAATATTTGAGAGATAAAATAAGAGTACCTACGCAAGATTATCCATTATCTCAAATAAAGTTATTCATTTGATTTTAAGTTTAAATATATTTCATTAGATAAAATCAAGATAATTAAATTAAAAATATACTTAATAATTAATTAGGTAGTATAATTTCAAATTCCAATGAGCAGTTTAGTTAAATAATTTACGAGTGAATTAAAATTTATTTGTGATGACCATTAATCCTAATATTAAAAAATGTAAGTTTTAAATCTTTTGATTTCGTGGGTATGCGGTTTATGGAAGCAAGGGAAGCATTGCTTCTCCTAAAACAAGCAGGATTAAATAAAGTTAAAATCGATGCTCATAATTTCTTTAATTCTAAACTTTGTAATAAAATAAATTCATCTTATCTAAATATAGGTTAAGCCTCCATACTATTAGGCATTCCAAACAAAATGGCTACCAGTGGGTTTTGACAGGTTATGATATGGCAAAATTATGGCAACCCTGTAGGCCTGGTGATTTGACAATGTCAATGAATAGATTGGTCATCCATATTTTTCAAAATAAACATAAGCTTATGCCTTGAAGTATAAATGTAGGTAATTAATTTTGCAAAATCGACTCTGATTAATGAGCACTTGGGTGGCAATACGGCCGCTCGTAAACGACCCGCTTTGATCAATCTATATAACTATGTATATATCATTGATCCTTTCAATAACAACAGTCACAGGGTTGCCATATCTAAATGTCAGTTTCCACTTGTCAGCAGTTTGACAAGTCGTTGAAATGCCTAATAGTCACTCTTGAGTTCATTCTAAGTAACGTTAAATAGTATATTGTTTTATTAGGAGTAAAAGTATAACTTTTTGTGGCGAGTCTGAATGTTTGATGGCCGAACGTTAATGAGGCCGACAATTTGAGACGAGCCACAAAAAGTGCTTTTGCTCTGAATGAAACATGCTATTTTTTCCGCAAACGGCATCCAGACTATAGAACTAATTATTATTTAAATAAAAATTCAAAACGATTGCAACGAAGTTGATAAATTCAGAGAATAATAATTATAAAACTGCGCACTACATTTCCGTGGTTACTGGTTTTGTGATTGCCAAGTCAAAAACAAATTTGACAGTTCAATAATATTTTATAATGTCAGAAAGATTGTAAGTGATTTAAAGCAACAATTGGACTGTGCATTTTTGGTAAGTACTTGAGCATCAAAATTTCGTTTGTTGTAGTAAAGTGTACTGAAATTTTCTTTTAGATTATATTATGTCGGATTCAGAACCCAACTGTACACCGCCCGACGTTGTTGACATTGCTAAGGCAGCTACGAATGATTTAATTCCAACTAAGTCAAGTAGAGTTTATAATCATGCTTACGAAAGATTTCTCACATGGTGCAATGATAAAAACATTTCAAACTATTCGGAAAATGTGCTACTAGCTTATTTTTTTGAAATGACAACTAAATTAAAAATGAAGAGTTCAACAATGTGGTCTCAGTATTCCATGATAAAATCATTACTGAATATTAAACATGGATTAGATATTAGCAAATATATGAAACTACGTGCTTATCTGAAGAAGCAGAATGAAGGGTATACTCCCAAAAAGACAAAGGTATTCACAAAAGATCAGTTTGAAGATTTTTTAAATAATGCACTTAATGAGCAATATCTAGGAATTAAGGTTAGTTATAATATTCTAACCTGCATAAATACAATCAAGTTTTTAAATACATACTACTTTTAGGTTGTTCTAATAATGGGCGTATCTGGAGCATGTAGATGCGATGAAATGGTGAACATGACAATAGACGAAATAAAAGATTTAGGATCTGTTATTCATATAAAGATTCCTGATAGTAAATCTAAAAAGCCACGATCGTTCACAATTATTGGAGAAAAATATATAAATCTTTACAGAAAATATACTTCTTTACGTCCACAAGCTATGGAAAGCCGACGCTTTTTTTTGAAATTTCAAAAGGGAAAATGTTATCGCATGGTCATGGGAATTCATACAATTAGTAACGTACCCAAAACAGTAGCAACTTATTTAAAACTACCGAATTCAAAAGATTACACCAGCCATGCATTAAGAAGAACTTCAGCTACTTTGCTTGTGGATGGAGGAGCTGATATTACTTGTTTGAAACGGCATGGAGGTTGGAGGTCGAGCACTGTCGCTGAAGGATACATTGAAGACTCTTTGTCTAATAAAAAACAAACTGTAGAAAAAATCTTGATGTCGAATTCTTCTTCACTGTACCTGAATGCAGCTTCTCATGAGCGAAATTATGTCGACGTTGATGTAACAGAAGCAACAACAAGTAAGGAGTCACGGGAAATTTTGTCGATGAACTCTTTCAACTCTGCACAAAATTCGCTTGAATTGGAAGTGAATAAATCAGGTAGTGCATTAAATATGTGCGGTGCAACCTTAAATAACTGTAATTTTACTATTAATAATTATTATCGTTAATAAAGTTTAAAAGTTCAACTAATAATTATTTTCCCTGTTAAAAATTCTACTTTTTTGTACGGCCGTCAGCGTACAAAAAAATACTTTTTTGTCCGCTCACAGCCGTACAAAAAAGTGGCGTCTGTGAAATCATACTTCAACATCATGAATTGACGTTAATAATGTCTACTTTTTTTGACGTTTGCGGAAAAAATGAGTTTTTGACATATGCTTTTTTTCTCTATAATTTCATCGCACGCTCCTGACTCATCGGTTGTATTTGAATACGTCATATATTCTCATTGAACTTGGACCTAACGGAGAAATATTTTTTGCAGCTCCTATGGGTGTAAGCCAAATGCATAATTTTGATAAACATGAAATCAAAATAGAAAAGACTGATAGCCGAAAAGAACCACCAAACGATAGCTATTTTATAGCTAGCTTACTATTCTTTTTCACGGGGTTAGCAGGAGCCTTACCATTACATTTTTTTTTAGTAGCAAATGATGTAAGTATATAAAGGTCCTTATTGAAATTATATAATCAACAGAAGAAGGATAAAATTGGTCTATATATGATTCAAGATTTTATTATAGGTACTGGTGGCCTGAACGTATATTTTACTCTATAAAATACCAGAGAGATATTAGGAAATATCCCTCATGTTTTTTCGTGTTAGTTTTAAAAATAGTTTCAACATTCTTTATTGTTATATACATGGGCGTCCGTAGAAAAATATTCAGGGGAGCCTGTAGTGCCTCGGTTGCACCACATACATTCCTACCTTAGAACTTCACACACTTGTCACCTTTTAAACCACCTTCATAATCTGGCAGTCTTGGTGAAGGTTGAACTCACTTCTATGACAACATTCGTTATCACGGATTTATTATTAATGTCATTATTCAGCAGTATTATTTTATTTATGATGGGATTTATGATAGTATCTCGCTCGGAAGAGTCCCCTCATTAAAAACCTTTTAAATCTTCAGAGCCACATACTCTCTACCTTCGTGACCCACCTGGGTAACTCGATCATTGATCATATCCTTCTAACAGACTCCTGTCCAGGACTAATGGCTAATAGATGTTCCAGATGTGAGACAGTAACCTCCGATCATCTCCCATCGATGTTAAAAAAAATGCGATGTTTAAATTATAGAACACTTACAGATAAATTAATTAAACAAGTTAAAAAAGATTTTTACACCAAACAAATAAATGAAAATAAAAATAGTTCAAAAAGGTTATGGGACACTTTAAAATAAATACAAGGAGATAGTAGAAGCAATAGAGAAATACGTGAAATAACTACAGATGAAGGGAAACATATTACAGACGCAAAAGATATAGCAGAAAGATTTAATCAATTTTTTTCAGAAATAGGCACATCACTTGCAAATAAAATAGATGACCCAAACACACCACCTCCGGTCAGAAATATTCACAAAAACTCTTTTGTGCTACTACCAGTAACTGAAAAAGAAATAAATAATATCATTAATTCACTTTTGAACAAAAAATCGCCTGGAATAGATAATATTTCCTCAGAATTAGTAAAAGAAAATTCTTATACATTAGCACCACTTTTGATGGATCTAATTAATAAAATGTTTGATAAAGGTGAGTTCCCAGCCGAATTAAAAAAATCTTTAGTAGTTCCAGTCTTTAAAAAAGGAAAAAAAGAGTATGTTTACAAACTACAGACCTATTAGCTTAATAACAACTTTTACAAAAATAGCAGAAAAAGCCTTAAATTTACGTTTAAAAGATTACCTCAATAAATATAAAATAATCTCAAACAAACAATTCGGGTTTCGAGACGGGCTCTCAACAACAGATGCGATCTGTGAGTTGTTAAAAAAAATTTATAGTTCTGTTGACTGCAAAAAACCATGTCTAGCAGTTTTCCTGGATTTTGCCAAGGCCTTCGACACTGTAGATCATAGACAGTTGTTAGAGACATTGGAAGATATAGGGATACGTGGGAAAACTTTTGACCTTTTTAATAGTTATCTGAACAATAGATTTCAAAGAGTTAAAATCAATAATGAAATCAGTGACGAGAGGCCAATAGAAAGCGGTGTTCCTCAAGGAACTATATTAGGTCCCACTTTATTTACATTATATGTAAACAATTTATATAATTTACAGACCACAGGAGAAATAGTAAGTTTTGCAGACGACACTGCGATTTTTTATGAAGGAGAAACTTGGGACGATCTAAAACTACAAAAAATCTTTCGTTTTACCATTTGTCAGCTACTCTAATAATCTACCTCAATATAGTAACATTAGCTTAACTTATATTAAAAAGAAAATAACATTGGAAAAAAAAAATAAAATAAAAATATTTAGGAGTTACCCTAGATTGTCATTTAGGTTGAGACGCACATATAAATAACTTAACAAATACCTTAAGACTTCTTTTATTTAAATTTAAATACCTCAAAAATATTTTACAAGTTACTCACCTAAGAACTATTTATTATGCTTTAGTCCAAAGTCGTGTACAATACGCAATCGTCTGTTGGGGTGCTACAACCAAAAATCACATATCCAAACTTGAAATATTACAAAAGAGAATTCTAGAAATAATACACAACGAAAAAGTTAGATACTCAACAGATGCACTGTTCGAGGAAGTAAAAATAATGGATATACGACAATTATACATGTACTCAGTTATAATTCTAATCTACAAAAATAAACAATTATTAAAATAAAATTACCCATAACTATGATACAAGAAACAAGGATAAAGGTAAAGTTGGTACCCATCTTGTAAATAAAACAATAGCACAACGTTTTTATATTTATTTAAGTGCAAAAATCTTTAATTATCTTCCGGATATGTACAAGGCATATTTACAAATCATAAATTCCGTTGAACTCTTTAAATCTATCAACAAATTTCTTATTAATTCGATTAGAAAAACCCAATGAGAAATAATTGATTAAATATACAAGTGTTCGAACTTATATATTATAATTTAGTTGTAATTGTATACTTTTTACGTGATATTTTTATTTTGTATATCTTTATTATTTATATTTCATATACAGTGAGCATCATAAGTCTTGCCCCCCCTAACTAACTCGTTACTGGGGTGTTGTTAGGAAAATCGCCGAGACAGGTCGATTTTTGATTTCTACTATGTACATTTTTGCATGATTAGTTTACCCTTAATTTCATCCCTTACTGGAGGGTAGCAACCCTTTCGAAAAATTTAAAAGGCATGGGGTGGTGAGTGATAGCTTATTTGAAAGGGGGTTTTATTCTCTATTTAACCGTGTAAAAAATTTTAAAATTTGCTTCATTACGTGTTGATTTATTAATGTTTAAAAATAACAAAACCTCACAAAATAGGAAAGCAACTAGACTAACACCTTCTAATGGCAAAAAGTCTTACTTCACGTCTGAACCAAAACCGAAATCATGCAGGGCCGAATTTTAATTCTAAGGATGAGTGCGCTACGTTAATTTCCGTTATTCTGAAACAACAATTAGTCGAGAATTAATGAAGCAAATTTCATTTTTTTTACACGGTTAAATAGAGAATAAAACCCTCTTTTAAATGAGCTATCACTCACCACCACATGCCATTTAAATTTTTCGAAAGGGTTGCTCCCCTCCAGTAAGGGATGAAATTAAGGGTAAACTATTTATACAAAAATGTACATTGTAGAAATCAAAAATCGATGTGTCTTGGCGATTTTCCTAACAAGACTCCAGTAACGAGTTAGATAGGGGGGGTAAGACTTATGAAGCTCACTGTATGTATTTTAGATGATGTGATTTTTAGCTAATTTTATATTGTTATTATTATTCAGTAATTATAATTTAATATGTATTATTTAATTAATGTAAATTAGATTTTATGAACTTATACAGGGTGTTATTGAAATACACGTACATATTAAAATGGGGAATAGTATGTAATGACCAAAAACGATTGGCACCAATTTTAACTTCAAATTCTAAAATTTAAATATTGGGGAAGAGTCCCCTTTTCCGACCTACTAGTTTCCATATTTAAAGAAGTAAAATAAATCGAAATTGAACTTACCCATAGAAATTGCACTGTTGCCGTAGCAAAACCAATTAATTCAAAATAAAGTTTATTACAGTAATTGTTCAAAATGCCGTCCATTATTATTTACACACACTTGCAATCGTCTTTCCAAAGAACTTTGAACATTAGAAATTAGTCTTGGATTTTGTCGTAGTTCCTCGGCTACCGCATTAACTTTATTGGTTAATTGTTCAACACTATTAATAGGTTCATTATAAACCAGTTGTTTTATGTGACCCCACAAAAAGAAATCGCATGGATTTAAGTCCGGAGATCTCGGAGGCCACTTAGTAGGTCCATTTCTGCCTATCCACTTTTGAGGAAATCAAATGTTCAAAAACTGCCGTACGTTTAAATCAAAGTGAGGAGAAGCGCCATCTAGTAGGTACCACATCCGTTGCCTTAATTGTAACGGTATCTCTTCTAGGAGTACTGACAAAATATCTTCTAAAAAGTGGAGATATCCTGGCCCATTTAATCTGTTCGGGAGAACATAAGGCCCGATTAAATACTGATCTATTATGTCAGCCCAAACATTTATTGAAAATTTTCTTTGATGCCCAGTTTCCCTAATGGCGTGAGGATTTTCATCACTCCAAATATGCGTATTGTGCATATTGAACACGCCATCACGAGTGAATGAAGCCTCGTCAGTATACAATAATATTTTTAGAAAATCAGGAATATCAACACATTTTTGAATCATCCATTCACAAAACTCCACTCTCTTTTCTTCATCACCTGGATATAAGGCCTGGACTTTTTGGATGTGATAAGGATGTAAACCTTGTTCTTTAAGTGTCCGCCACACAACAAATGAGGACACTCCAATTTCAAGACCTAGTCTTCTACAACTTAATTGAGGCCGGTTTTCAACAGCTTCCAATATTTCTTCTTCGGCCGCCAATGTTCTTTGTGTTCTTGTTCTCCCTCGATCTGCATTGACACTCTCAAATTTTCCATGGTCTCTTAGATGCTGAACAGTTGAAATAAACGTACGACAGTCCGGAATTCTCCGATTTGGAAACCGTTCGCGATACAGGATTTGTGCTTGCCGAGAATTTTCTCCAGCTGCCCCATAAACCAGCACTATATCCGCTAGTTCAATATTCGTAAATAGTGGCATCGTAAAAAAATATTTAAAAGTAATCGTAACAACACTTTTTACCAACTTGGAAATGACGCGCTCGTGTTAGCCAGATTCGTAAATCAACTAAAATTTTAATAATCTATAGTTTCAAAAATGTATAGTTTAAAAACAATCATTTATCAAATATTCTAGTTTTTTGATAACGAGGGTAGTAAAAACCAGTCTTCGGAAATAGAAATTAATTCGAAAATCTTGGCAACATGGTTATTTCTTACAAGACTAGTTTTCTTATCATCTGACAAAAACTTGCATATTAATTACTGTTGATGTTTAAAATAGGTAAATAAACCTAATTTATATAGGTCATCCTCAACATATCAGTGAAGTACGTTTGTTTTAGAATTAATTTTCAAAAATTAATAACTCCCTTAATAAGGGGTATTTTTAAAAAATAATATTTTTCTACATTCAGTGGGGATCTGTGCAATACCCAGTTTTAATATGTACGTGTATTTCAATAACACCCTGTATAAGTCAAGCTTTAATATTGTATTTAAAAAAAAAGTTAAAAATTCGGCAGCCCATGCGCAACCACATGGTCATAAATGGGCAGCAAATACTTTTAATGTACAAGGTACTTGTCAATTACTCTATTAATTTAAAATTATTTAAATGTACCTACAACTATGATGTAACCAAATAACAAAAATGCTGAATAAAGATTATTATTATTATTATCCACAAATCCTACCTTGAATCCATATTCAGAACCCCAAACAACCCCCACTTTGACGAACAATTCCGAAACCAGACCAGACCATTAGACACTAGCTACTCCTACCCCCCCCTCCCCCCATTGGATCTCGAAAACCCACTCACAGCCCCATTCACCCCCAAGATATCCAATATTCTTATAAATCAGGTCCAAACACAGCCCCAAGGCCGAAGTCTTTAAACACACTTCAAATTCCTAAACCAAAGACCCCAAATCCATAGGCTCATACAGTCCTATTTCTCTTATACAGGGTGGCTCACGCTCAACGGGACGGAGCTTTATGGGAAAACGACCAAAGATATAAAAAATTCGTTTGGGAGGAATACGTAGGTTACAGACGGCTACAATTTAAAATTTGTTTGATGTATACAGGATGTCCCACATAAGAAAAAAAATTAGTTCATTAAAAATTATTCAAACAAGAGTAAACAATTAATTTCTGGGAGACTTTTTTTCCTTAAAAATTCAAATAAATCGAAAACTAATAATAATAGTAATAGGGAACCTTTAGTTAACTGACATTATTTTTGATGTAGTTTTTAATTCTAAAATAAAAAACAGGGTGTTCCATTAAAAATAATATAACTTTGTATATTTTCTCTTATGTGGGACATCCTGTATACATCTAACAAATTTTAAATTGTAGCCGTCTATAACCTACGTATTCCTCCCAAACGAATTTTTTATATCTTTGGTCGTTTTCCCATAAAGCTCCGTCCCGTTGAGCGTGTATATGTACTAGGTAAAATCCTTAAACTTTTGCCCAAGGAATGAATCTAGGAATTTTGTGAAGAAAGAAATATACCTCGATCCCAACGACCTCACTTCACTCTGAACCAATTTAAAACAATTCTACTCAGTCGTTCTTCTCGATGTGCAAAAAGCTTTTAATCAAGCCTGGCTTACCAGACTCAAAGAACTCATGAACATAGGTCTTCTCCCTCAAGAATGCCAAGCTTATTCACTGTTATTTCTAAAACAGAACCATTACAGTTAAAGTGGGCGACGCCCTGTCCGACCCGTTTGCCCCTCTAGCAGGAGTACCACAGGGCTCAGTCCTATCCCCTCTCCTATACATTATCTACACATACGACCTTCCTCTCCCAAACAACCCATCGCACATTGTCTTCAATATGCTGATGATACTGCTCTGTTTTCAGTAGTCCTGAATTCAAACCAACTAAAAACTCGAACCCAAAATCTGTTAAACCAGTCTGACGGCGATGGTTCGTCTATTATTTAGATACACATACTAATGATATAATGATTAATAAACATTTTCTGATAAAATTATTAATCCTATGGACAAATTTAGAGTATATGAAGAAGTACATTAAGAAGCCTTAAAGTTAATTTAAGGATATGAAGCTTTTAAATTTAAAAATAAACATCTAACTTTGAGAGTACCCACAAAGCCACTAAATATTTTAGAGACTCCTCAGTGGTTGCAAACACTTTCGAAAGGTTAATTAATTAACCCTGAACAAGAATTATGGGAAACTGAATTTTCGCAAATAAAACTGTAACTTCATGTCCTTTTTGAAGTAATTTTATGCATGAATAAGACATGAATATAATTTGTTATTTGTATTATCATAATTGTTCTAGTTTTGTGATAAAATAGTAATATTTAAAATTAGCAATTTTAAAAAGTAATTTATCTTATGCTTACACTTTTTGCAAATAAATATTTTGTTTCTGTACACATGTGTACCTATTTGATTTCACGTAGTAAGAGAAGAGACGGTAGGAGTAATTTAGTAAAGTATTTTTAATCTATATTCTGTACAGAACATCACTAGGGTAGGCATTTAAACAAATATATTACAAAATAAACCAGAAAGGTTTAGTAACTGAATAAAACCTAACGGAAGCAAAATATCGAATTTCAAACACTATATTCCATCAAATCTACATCCCACGTGACGTCAACGTCAGTCAGCTGCATGCGCAAGAACATACCGTGAGCCTGTGTATCGTGGTAATAAAGACTTTTCAGTTACAAAAATAAAACTTAATAATTTCTTTGCAGATGCTATAGTTTTAATTAAATGTACAAAAAACTTAATTTGCTGGCAAAGAAAACCCCTAGATTATTTGCTTCATCTACCATTTCAAGTTGAGTGTTGTTGATTGTACAATTAAATTCAGTTAGGTAGTACTCACCTTTTTAAGTATTTGCGCATTTACATTTTTGTATATTCAAGGGTAATTTAAGTCGCACTAGTTTTACAGCGTTGTCAAGTCTTGCAAGACAGCGTAGTCTAACACTGCTTCTACGACTTTGTAAAATTTAAAATCACCTTTAAAAAGAACGTTTTTGCTTTTAATTATATGGAGTAAATTATTTATAAATAGAGCTAAATTACCACCTTGCATCAAAACCATAATATAAGTTCAATTTTATGATTAAGTTTATCAAAAGCCTTCGAGAAATCAGAATTGAGTACATTAAGCTGTAATTTATTATTAAAAGTTTGGTAAACACAATTGTAAAGCAACATACATTTGTAGCAGTTGATCTTTTGATTTATTATCTTGGGATACCTATCTTAGACAATAAACTATTTTATTTTGTCCAGTATTCTTTTGTAACAAAGCACTCATTTATATTAAACATTTTAGTATTGGATGTATAAATTAAGAGATCCAGAATATGAAACTTACAACTTAAGCGATAAAACCTACTACCAAAAAATGTTTACGTCTGTAAGTTTAGCAGTCCAAGGATTTCCATGTATGATTTCAGCATATTTGTCAGCAAAATTTGCTCTCAAAATAGATGTCCGTAAACGATTCTTGTTTACATTGGCGATCATCAGCTTTCTTTTTGTTATTTTTACCTCACTAGTAAAAATAAACACCGATGGATGTGAGTATTTAAATTTTTCAAGATTCATTTTGATAACTCAAAAGGTACCATTTCGGTAGGCGCGACGGACAACCGCCGATGCGACATACGACCGCCGAAGCGACCGAGAAGTGTCGCTTCACATCTAAAATACACAGAATTATATGAAACACATTTCGCACGGCGCGACACGAGAAGTGTCGTCAAGACGCATATGCATGTTCTTTTTATGATGCCCTATTATTTCTTTGTTTCATTTTAAATAAAAACACTGATTATCTTGATGTTTTTTTTATGGAGCCAACCTACAGTAGTGGATGCTTATTACGCTGCTTTTACTGCAGAAATTTTACTAGAGAAAATATTCTTTAACCATTTGCTGAAGAGTGAGGCAAACTTAATAAATTAAGAACAAAATTTACTAGAGACAAAAACACTGGATCTACGTAAAAACTGTAGGTCTGGCAACGTTGTTCGTTCCCTCGAATGGTTATTTGCAAGTGTCGCTCGACACTTCTCTAGCTTCCGAAATGTACGGAGCGTAACATTTATGCATATGTCGTCCTACTGGTCGTCTAAGTGGTCTCCTGTCTCCTGACGTGGCTACCGAAATGGTACCTTAACGCATCCGGGACTCTCATCAGGGTGACACAAATTCGAAACTCTGTACTCTGTATGAGGGCAATATTAGCTATTTATGTATAGTAAACACGGAATTCGGCTATAAGACCAAAAAGCAATAAAATCATAATAGTTTGAATTTATTTAACTTATTCTCTAAAGACTTTTAATTATGCCTTTAAAAATTCCGCAAGTAGCATAAACCAATTGTAAGCATTTTTTTTTTCGTTTAAGTATATTGCATTCACAAAAACTAATTTATGCAAAAATCTACCAGTTTTGTTTTTCTTAGTAATATTGATATTAGTTTTTTAAGACACCAAAATTAACACACAAAAAATAATAAGCTATCTAAAAAATGATGTTATCCAAATTATAACACAAATTTATTTTAGTCTGCACCTCATTTACTGCAGCCATAATTGTTAATATCCTATATATTGATTTATATTAAACAAATACTCTTAAAATATTCTGTGGCGTTTCCAACGGAATTCCGTGTGTACTATACCAAGGCTGGTAAAGATGTGTGAAGTAGGCCCGCCGAAACTTAAAAATTGTTGTTTTAAAATTGGAATGCTTTCGGTCACCTATTAACCATATTTGTTTAACCACCCAGTAACTTGTTTTGACCACTCTAAGAAAAATTAGGAGCTGAATGCCCGCTGACTCCCAAAGTTTTTATTTTTTAAAATTGCCTGCACTATAGCATGACTAATTTTTGGGGAGGTCATGCTAATAACACTTTTGACCCAATCTTGGACGCGAGAGAGGTGAGAACCTTTTTGCAGCTCCTCAATCTAATGGCATGGTACATGGTACAGCCATGGTCACCCTAGACATAAGGCACATGGAATGTAAGAATTTTAATCTGGTGAGGACATGGTCCCGTGTGGAGGATGTTACTGGGAAGAATAGGGTGGATCAGCTTATAATGAATATTAGTATTATATAATATAGTTGAACCAAACATGTCCGATTGGCTTTAAATTTGCCTTTTGAAGAAGTTATTAATATCAGAGGAGTCACATCTACCTTAGTAATTGTGTCCTTATTTTAGTGGTGGCTCGTTACTTGTGTAATAGGGAGGACTGGATATAAGGGAATAAAAAAATCAATACCAAAAAACATTTAAAAGGCGGCTGAATACGATACTTTTTAATTCCTTTACTTTGATGACAAATAATTATTACAAAGATAAATAAACACCACACTAGATCAACATAGCAAAACAAACCACAAGTCGATCGCCAGATGGGCTAAGGGCTGACTGAGCTGCGCCCGCCAACAACGCTAACGCAGGAATACAAAATGCCCAATTTCTTTCCAATACTCCGCTACACGTTGACGTCGGTAACAATAATATGGCAACCCTCCAGAGATTCGCTATGGGCTGCTGGTATTACGCCGATACAATAATTATAGCGCGCATATATTATGATAGAGAAACCCCGTATTATTCCTTTTGCTATTGTACAGTTCCGGCTCGTTTGTAATTAATTAAATTCTTCGCTCACAGACTTTATTATTGCATTTATTTGTGTTTGTCTCTTTTATTGTTAATAAATTTAGGAGAAATTAAATAAAATTGGTGATTAAGTATATGGAAATACTTCTTTGCAGATGACTTCTGCTACTTTGCCCCACTGCCTTATTTGTAGCGTTCCTAGCCAATATATCCGTCTTTTTATTGCCAGTTATTCCGACGTGACCTATGAAACCTGTTTAAAATTATGTATCATCGTTTGACCACCCATTAAAATATTTCCCATAGGGTGTCAAAATTCGATCCTTGTTTCAAGATAACAAAATTTACCTAAGCAGTTTTACTTAATTACCAAGAAGCGAAATTTGACATAAGCTATATTTTTCAGCTGTTTCCGAATCCAATTTCAACTTGGAAAAAATGGTCAATCAACATAAGGGAACAATAAAGATGCATAATGGTTAATAATTATGTTTTGTCGTTTTACCACCCCCTAAAATAATTGAGGGGGCAAGTTAATAAAGGGACTAACTGACACTTTTAGATTTTCAGGTTTTTTGATATAAATGAACTTAATATGTTTGTATCTAACCTACCTACGTGTCTAAAATTGTTACACCTTATCCATTTGAGAAGATAAGTAGCAGATAAAACAACGAATTTCTATAACCTAATCCCTTTATCAATCGCAGTCTAATAATACCCAATTGATTACTTCGTACATAACCTAAAATATTTGTTGTTATCATAAGTTGTGTGTTGCGTTAGAGACAGTAACAACGGTAATTGCTATTCATTATAAAAGATGTAAAGAGGAATGTTAATGGTTTTAAAAGTTCTTAAAGAAGCGAAAGAAAAAGTTTTTAGGCAAAATGTAGAACTGTAAGTATACTTAGCGAAAATTAACCACTTCTTTATTTTTCATTTTTAAAGTAAACTTTATTGCATCCAACCTAATACTTACAAACTGAAGATTATTTTTATTGAATGCACTATACAAGAACCTGAACAATAGTGTTTATGAAAACTAAAATTTTTGTGTAGGTACGTCTTTGCAACAAAGGTTATTTTTTTGGGTAATAAAAACAAACTTGTAGATAACGAACAACTAAAGTCAATTCTAAAGCTTGTCAATCAAGAGTCTGAACTTTCTACTAGTAAAAATAACTTGCCAAATTTGCCCGAAAATGATACGGGACCAGATTCAGGTAATTTATAAAAAATGTGTACTTGTATGATATTAACTATAAATGAAATTCTAGAAAGGCCTGATTCTGAGGAAGATTATTATGAAGAATCTAGTGATAAATATATCCCAACTGACGAAACATATTCTGACAAAAAAGAGGAGTTACAGCAAACTTATAGAGACGAAGTGGTTTATTTAAAAAAATGATAATTATAAAGAAATTAGTAAAAGGAATAACAAACCAGGTTCAACAAAACATTCAGCGGTATTAGAAAGACAAAAAAAGAGAAAATTAAAAATATTTCCCAACCCCAAAACTTCCGAAAAAAGAATTAAACAGCAGGAACACTAAAAAAAAAAGAACGGCAAAAACTAGGACCACCGGACAAAGTTACCTGTCTCAAAAAGGGTATAAAGTTGAAGCAAAATTTATTAATAGTGACAATGGTATGAATAATTGCAGATTAAAATGTTCAGATAAATTTTTCATTCAAGTTAGTCAACATATACAACATAAATACGAAAAATGCTGTGTTGTTTAAAAGTATTTTTGGTCAACCTAGAAAAAGATTAATAAAAGATGCTAAGAGTCATCTTTTTCATGATGACTATAAATAATGGACAAATTAGAGTTTGCAAATCAGCTTTCTCTGACTTATTTTAAATTGGCAAAAAGAAAGTGGAAATAATTCAGAGAAAATTACAAAAAAATGCATCTGTGTCATCACCTCATTAGAGGACATCATACCAACATACCACATAAGATATGTCAAGAGATAGTTGAGTATATAAAACAACATATTTATTGAAAAAATATTTATCGACCCAACTGAATATATTAATGATGTACAGACTTTACATAGAACAGTGCCAAATTGAACATAAACTTGATTTTTTTAAAATAAAAAAATCTTCGTACTCAAATATATTTTCCAAGGAATTTAATATGTAATCTAGTTACCCTTAAACTAATATATGCAGCAGATGCGATGCTGGGGAATCTAACCAAGAACATTTAGAAAATGTATAAAGTGGCTTTGACCTTATGAAATTGAATAGAGAAATATCTTGCAGTGATGGAAATATACTATACGTAAACATACATTTACAGCAACCGTTACCTTTGCCGACTTTAACGACAAATAATGCATTTTATTTACGACAGTTATGGTTTTATAACCTAGGTATACACTCAATTTTATCATTAGGTGACATACCGTTCAGGCAGACATGGACTGAAAATATTGCAAACAGAGGTAGCATTGAAGTTGTAAGTTGTTTATAAGATTTTGTTCAAAATTCTTCTCAGAATAAAAACTACACTATGGTATGTTGTTTACAGTGTTTGGTCTTAAAAGGGTACTTTAAAATTATTAACCACAAATTCCCCGAAGTTGGTCATACATATTTAGACTCAGATAGAGATTTTGGCTGCATCGAGAAAGTTTTAAGAGAGAATGAAACAATATATACAACTGGTCAATATCGCAGAATAATTTAACAAGCGTCTGTAACAGCATGTGTGATAACTAATATGGAACACCTTTTTTCTGATTTTGAAAAGCTTTCGAAGAGTTTAGGTTCATTTTAAAGAAAAAAATTTTTTTTAATGAAAAGGTACATTTTCGCGATGGAATTAAGTGGATTCGCGTGGAAAAATTTAGTACATATCTGTACAAAGAATCATATGATACTTATACACTCTTCAAGGAAGTAAAATTTGGT